GGTGGGGGGGGGGGGGGTTTAAAAGAGTTGTGTGAGCGTGCGCGCCCTGTCCTCACGCGCCTGTAACCCTTGTTACTTGCAGAAGGTATGTCGCCCCGGGCCGAGGGGAGTGAGATAAGTGGCTGCAAACGTCTGTGTAATCTGCGCGCTCTGTCGTGCATCGTCTGTATCCTTGTGTGTGTGGGGCCCGGTGCTCAGACAGGGCTGTGTTCCCTCCTGCGCAGGGCCCGGCTGCTTACGAATAACTGGTTTATTTGCCGAGAAATAAAATGTGGTAGTTGGTCCTTTTAATCGAAACCCTAGGAGCCCAGATCAGAACATTGATAAATACCTTTTCTTTTAACTCCTAGAAATAGCATCGTCAAAGTAGCCGACTTACCATTGCTTCAGAGACAAAATAGCATTTTTCCAACGTACCTTTTCTTTAGGCACTGCTTCAGGGTAGAGGGGTGTGATGCCTCCCACAAAGGTTTTTGAGCCTTCTTTCCCTGGGAGCACATCCGTTGCAAGTGTCTGCACAGCTTTTGCAATGAACCTTTCCCCTGGATCCTTAGACTCGGTCTGGCAGGGCTTGTGCTCATACTCCATAGACAGCGTTTTGAAGTTGCGTCTGGGGCTGGCGCTCAGGTTCTGAAGTAGGGTTGTTAAATATTGGTTAATTGAATAGTTGAGTAACCTCACGAATTCTTATCCGTTACTCAACTACTCTGTGTCCCTGGGAGCAGGCCAGCAGCTAGTGCAATCCAGCTGCACTCCCAAGGAGTCCCCTGTCATCCTGTGCTGCTGCCTTTGTACTAGAGGCAGCAGTGCAGGGTACCAAGCCGGAGCTGGTGTGTGAGGAGACCCTGTTTAAAAACCAACTCCCCATACAGACTGGCTGCCTGTTATACAGGGGTGGCAGTAACCCCTGTCAGGGGGATGGGAGAGGTGGGTCTGAGGTCCTGGACCCAGCATGACCTGGAACTGATCCAGACTGCCTGCCCGCCTACCACCTGATACCCTGGCTGCGGCTCTGCATTTAAAGGGTAGGTCCCAGACCCCTCACAAGCCTGGACTGAGACATGCTGCTGGCCAGCCTGCTAAGAAATTTACTGGAGGGGGAGAATGTGTGTAGTGTATAGCATCAACCTATAAGCTTTTGCTTATTGGGTAATTGGTTAATCAACTATATTATTACATCCCAATTCTGAAGTGTACACTTCTCCCTGGGCTTCAACTGCAGATGCAACTTCAGACTGCAGTCTATATAGCTATTTTAGAGTGCTAGCAGAAGTCCTGCCTGGCAGTTTGTCAGCCCAGCCTGAGAATCTCACTTCTACTTGCTCTAAAATGCTGTGTAGGCTAGCCATGTAAAAGTGTAATCGCTTAAATGGGTAACAGGTTACCCAAATGGTTACATGCTGGCTCCTGGTTAGCTGGCTGCTGCCTCAGTACTAGCAGTTTGGGGTGGCAGGTGGGAGCCAGTATGCACAGAGAGTTGGCTTAAAAGCCGGCTTCCAGCATACACTTGCTCCTGGTGTCCTGGCTCCCTCCCTGTGCTGCTGAGATTCTTTGTATGAGAATCTGCAGTGTGGGGCAGCAGCTGGCTCCCTGGGAGTGGGGCTGGGAGCCCACACTGGCTGCCAGCCGTGCTCCTGAAAGCTAACCTGTAACCGTTAAAACTTTTAGCAGCTACGCTACACGGTTACAATAATAACAAGACTGTTTTACTCTTGCAGTTTACAATCCTGTGAATAGGTTCAAGAGTTTCAGAGGGGTAGCTGTGTTAGTCTGTAACTGAAAAAACTTAAACAGCAAATAGTCTCCTAGCACCTTATAGACTAACAACAAAATGTAGATGGTATCCTGATTTTCCTGAGCAAAGTGGGCTGTGAATAGGTGTGAAACTGATCAGAAGTTTGTTAATTTCATTTTTGATGGTTGTAGTAGATGCCCTAGTTTGGGTTTTTTTGGGCAGAGGTGGGGGAGGGGTAGTGTTGCCAGTTAAGATAGATGGTGCTGTAGGAGGCACATTTGAAAGGGTTAGCTTTTTAGAAATGAAAGTTTAATCTGTGGAAATTGAGTCTAGTGTGATACTCACTGAGGCTCCAGAGCCGCAAGTGTCTCATTGATGTGTCTCCTGTGGTTCTTTGCAGGACATATTGAAACACTGTATGAATAGTTAATAAAATCAGGATGCTTTTACTGTTTTGTTAACCAAGTGTAGTTGATAAAATGGTCACTTAAGAATGACCATATTGGGTCAGACAAATGGTCCATCTATCTAATCCTGTCTTCTGACAGTGGCCAATGCTAGGTACTTCGGAGTAAATGAACAGAACAGGAAATCAAGGGATCCATCCCCTTTGCTGTGAAGTTTTGTGTGTATAGTTATCTGTAAAACAAAATATTTCATGTCATTATTAAAATATTAATATTTAGTGAATGAAACCATTAACGCTCAGTACTGGGGCTCTCTTGTGTAATGCCAATTGCTAATTTGGCTCCTGAGTCAGAGATCTGGGCACTGCATGCCCTTTCCTTGGCTGCATTTTGTTAGTCCTTTCTTATATACAACCAGGTGTATGGAGATAGAAAATACTATGTTTGGAAGAGCTGAATTAGGCTTGCTATGGGAACCACAGCTGAAATTCTTGACTTTGGGGTGCGTAAATTGTCATGTTGAATAATACATCTTATATATTCTAGAGAGCTTGTCTCCTGTAGATATATTGCTTTGGAATTTAGTATCTGTTGGCATTGGCTAATGGTGATAAATGGAAATACCTAAGTTTTTGGGGTTGAGAAGAAACATCTAGCTAATTGCTAGATACATGGATAATGGATTGGAAAATTTGGATTCTGAAAAATAAAAGGTCCTAGATTCAAGCTCTCCCATACATGGATATTGAGTAATTAAACAGCTTAGTATAAGGTTAAAATAACATGCTTCAATGAGTTGATTAATGAAAAATAAATCTATTGTCACACTAATTTTGGTGGCTAAGTTGGAACAGTTCTTTTCATTTTGATCACCACTTGTGGTGAGGTTTAACGTTTATTACTGTGCATCTTTTCTCTGATTTTCTTATAGAATAATGAGAGATAATCAGAGAAAAGATGCACAGTAATATTAGGATTATTTCCCTCTTTGTTTTATAAATTACAAACCAAAATCTGGCTAAAACAAAGAGGGTCAAGAACTGCTTGACTTGACAGCATCTAGCTGCTTTTGCTACTTTGGTAAAATTGAAATGCAGGAAACTCAGCCATATTTCAAGCTGAGAAACTGAACACTTTTGGAATGTGTAATTAACCTCAATAAAATATGAAATGAAAAATAAAGAATGTAAGTTAAGTTGTCTTCTCTTCTTTCCCAGCAAAATCAAGTAGAAAGCTTACATTTCTATATTTAGCGAACGATGTAATCCAGAACAGTAAAAGAAAGGGTCCTGAATTCACAAGGGAGTTTGAATCTGTTCTTGTGGATGCTTTTTCTCATGTTGCCAGGTAAGTTGTTTGAATGTTAATCTGTTGTGCTTTCCTTCCCCGATTTCTTTCTTAATAGCTTTTGTGTTAAATGTTCCACACGTTTATAAATGTTCCACAAGTTTAAATTCAAGTGCTTTTCAAATATAGGATTATGTATGCCTAAGGAGGTTAAATTGTCTTTGCTAGAAGTTGAACTCTGACTCCTTTACTTGCTCTTGAGAAACACAAGTAAAATGTTGGCAGCTGGTTCTCTTAAATGACACTTGACTCGTGGGGTTTTTTTGGTTTTGTGTGTTCAACTCCTGTGCAGTTTCAATACTCATCCATAAATCTCAAGGCTCTGTACAGAGATGGAAATTACCTCTGTTCTAAAGATGGTGAAACTCAGCAGTTAAATGGTTTGGCCAGTCACATTATTTGTCAGCAGGGAGTTTGAAACAGAGCTCTGGTTTGAAGACTACTCTGGTCAATCCACTACTAGACCTTTTTTCAAATTATTTCAAAATGCTTTAATATAAACAGTGAAATTTAGAAGAAAAACACACATCACTCCTGCTTCAGTTTGCTGCTAATCAGCTGCTATATTTGGTTTTTCCAAAAGACATGCAGTTTGAAAACTATCTTCATATTTAAGCTAATAATTCCTGTTTCTTGATCTCAGTTAATTACCTGAAGAGTTATAGACTGGTTTGAAACTTGTTACTAGCTAGAATATTCCCAATAGAAAACTTAATTTAAACTTCATTTTCTATACCATCTCATCAGTGGGCTTAAGAGAGAGTTCTTATGTGTGTCTTGCTTTTGTGTCTACATCATTTTGGTATGGCAGCAGGTAGAGATCTGATTTTTTTTTTAAATTAAATTGTCAGTCTTATGTATTGGGTAGTTGTACGTTATGGGAGCTTTACTGGCTCACATCAACTGTTATCAAATGATTGGCCTCCTCACTGAGGTGGGAAAGGGTGACATACTCCAGAGGAGGAAACAGAAGGTGCAAAGGGAAACAGCTGCATTTTATTCCTGCCATAGGATGGTCTCTAGCTAGTTAAGGATTGTTGTACTATTTAGAGACGAGCTTAATCTGAACTGAATGGTTATAATGCACAGGGGAATTAAAGAGCATCTAATGACAGTGTGTTCTGGATAATGACATAACTTTTGGCACTGTTTCTTCTTTTATTCCTTAGAAGTCTTGCTTATTTAGTGGATGTTTAATAAGTAAGTTCTCATTTCAATGTCTAATGACCCGAACAGTTCCCTTTTTAATTAGGATGTCATTCATTGAAACAATCACTAGAAGCGAACATTTTAAAGTGTAAACTCAGTAACTTTCTAGGATTGTTATAGTTATTTCTACAACAGCAGAAAGTACTTCTCTCCCTCCCCACCCCTCCCTTACCCTCCCCCTCCCCCTATAAGTTTGCATCTTTCTCTGATGGGTGCAGCTTCTAATTTCCACAATGGCATTTAAAAATACTCTTGTTGTATAACCAAAGTTTTTAAACTATTTTTTTAAATATTTGAACAGAGAGGCAGATGAGGGCTGCAAAAAGCCCTTGGAGCGATTGCTTAACATCTGGCAAGAAAGGAGTGTGTATGGCAGTGAGTTCATACAGCAGTTGAAACTTTCTATGGAGGATACCAGTAGCCCTCCACCAAAAGGTAAACAGAGGGGTTGCTGCTTTTTTTTTTTTTTCCTTTAAAGCTATCACATTAAAAAGTTAATGTGTTACTAACTGACATTAGTGCTTTGATGGTAAACAGGCCAGTTCCTGGCATCATGCCCATCTAAGGTTAAGAGACTTGCAGTCAGAATTGTCACTGGAGTCAGGAAGAGTACGGCTACACTGCATTTTGAAACACATGGCAGTAAGTCTGAGAAATTGGGTCTAAAGACTTGGGCGGATGCTATGGAGCCAAAACAGCTATGTAGATGTTTGAGCTTGGCCTCTGAAGCCCACCTTCTCCCGAGGCTTTGGAGCTAGAGTGTGTAGTGGCAGGCTCTGAGGTCTGCTGCTCTGGGTTTCTGCTTGTCATTTAGGTGCACCGTGAGGTAATTGACTTGAAGAAAATTCACAATCCCAGCAAATTCACAATCCCAGCAATGACAGAGCCAAGACTAGGTCATTTAACTCTACACAAGCAAGTGGATGCACTCACTCTACCTTTATAGACTTCTGTGTAGGTTTGGGGGAATTCAGCACAACAAGGATTGTTCCTTGTGTTGCCACCTCCAGGACAAGCTTGTGACTCTTCTGCTTTGGCAACTGTAGTTAGTCCAGCCGTGGAGAGAGTGGGACTTACTGGTCTCCAAAGCACACTGCCAGTTTAAAACTGTCCTCCAAACACAAGTGTGGATAGTTAGGTTAGTTAGGGGGGCTGTTACAATGGTCTGGTCTCCATACTTTAGCCCTCAGCTGCCCTTTCCTCATTCTGCATCATCTTGACAGATCACCATGACTCTTTGGCAAGCGGTAAGGATGTTAAGTATCAGTTAATTTACTAGTCGAGTAGTGGATCGAATTTCCATCAAGTACTCGACTAGTCGATGAGGAATGTGGAAGTGCCTCTTTGAAATGTACAAGAGCCCCAGTGGGGGCTCTTGTGCATTTCAACGTTGGAACTCTGTGTGCAGCCCGCGCCAGCAGGAAGTCCCGCCGACTCCGGGCTCCACATGCTTTGAAATGCGCAAGAGCCTGGCTCAAGTGGCCTGAAATGCACCTGAAATCAGTGCAATTTAATTTCTAATCAGTTTGAAACATGTACTGGCTATGCAACCTGCGGGTGCATATACTTATGCTACAAACGGGAATGCATTCATTATGGAAGAATACCTAAACTCCTCACTGAATATGTGCAGATTATTTACCATTCCACAATGTGTACATTATGAAGAGGACATGTCTCTGCATAGAGTTATCTGGATCACTTTATAAGTTGGGTGCAAGCAAATATGCAGGTTGCTATGTTGAAATGAAATAAAATATTTGATTTAATTTTATTTTGAATGTAGGTGGGTGGAGCAGCACAAGGGCCATATGTTGCCCATTGGGGTTTTATGTGTGGCCTAAGAGACATTTTGTTTACTGTTGCCTATGCACAGGGTTGCCAGATTCCACTGGCTTCCATCTGTGTAATTATTTTCCTACCACTGATAGTAGTGACATGCGAGTGAAGCAAGGGCACGTGAAGTGAAGTGTATGCTGATTGTACACAATGACTGTGACGCTGCAGAGGGAGCACACGACTCTCAAAGTGCTGCTATGGTTCGGTTAGCATACCTTGCAAATTCTAGGTACACAAGCGCAGTTAGAAAATTCCCCTGTCCCGGGAGACGGTCTTGGTTACAACAATCTTGTGGCCCGCTGAGAGAGGGCTACTTATGTGGCTCACTCGCTAGCCTAGATTGCCCCCCAGTCATGCAGGCCATGCTTTCAGAATGCGTGGAGGACTCCTTGGGAAGCAGTGCATGAGAGAGATTTGGCAGAGTGGCTAATCTGCTGAACATGAGCTCCCGGTGTGATGTTATGGCCAAAAGGGCTAATTGGATCATTGTTTGCATCAACAGAAGAAGTTGGAGTAGTAGTTCAGAGGTTACTTTTATCTCTGTATTTGGCCTCCTGTCGCCTTGGCTATAAGATAGCATCCACAATTCAACTTGGAAAGGGCTCCGAAGAGTCATGAGAATGATTAAAGGGTTAGAAAACCTGCCTTACAGTGTTTAGACCCAGGACTCCACCTATTTAGAACTGCAAAGGGAAGGTTAAGGGATGACCTGTTTGTGGCCTGTAAAGTATCTACATGCAGACAAATATTGAATGCACTTTTTCAGTCTGGCAGAGAAAGGCATAGCACAATCTAACGCTGAACGTAGCTGACACTTGCCAAATTCAGTCTGACAAGGTTTAGATTTTTAACAGGGAGGGAGTTCCAGTGGTTAACTATCCTGTTTAGTTTTTTTTTAAATGTGTCGTGGTAGATTCTCCATCACTGGCAATTTTTACATCAAGATTCGATTTGCTAGGGGGCTGCACCCCCTGCTTGCTTCACTTGCCAACTTCCCTCTCTTTGGGGGTAGGTGTCTGGCAGGGGAAGTTTGCAAGAGTGGGGGAGCAGCAGCAGGCTGGGAATGCAGGGTCTCGGTGGAAGGGTTGAGGGAGAGGGCTGGGGATGCAGGGTCTCAGCCAAGAGGATGTTTGAGGGGACTGGGGATGTGAGGAGGCCACGTGGCTCCCAGCCCCTCACCCACAGGAGGGGTGAGGGCATGTAGCTACTGCCCCGTGGCACCAGGGGGGGAGAGGGAGGAGGCAGGGAAGTTGAGGGCTGACGGGGTGGTGGGACGCAGTGACCTGATGTCACTCTGTTGTCCCGCAGGAAAAAATTGTGTATATATATATCTAGAACGATATAAACATCTGCTCTGGGGATTATTTTGCGGGAGTTCTCTGACCTGTATTCTGCGAGAGGGAAGACTAGGTGACCATAGTGGTTCTTTTTGGCCTTGGAATATATGAATCTGAGGAGACAGAGAAGGAAGAAAATAAAACTTGCAGCCAGATTTGTTGTTTAGCTTCCACTTCTTTTGAGTTATAAGCTATTTCTTTCCATGCTAGAGGCCTTTCAGTTTCCTTAGTGAAATACATGGAATATTTCCCTTGTGCACACATGCAAACATATGTGGGCATCTATATTTTGCATGTGTTTCAATCCTAAATGTACCTAATTGGAAACTAGCTACAAGAATATCTTATTGATCTCCTAGGCTACGTCTACACTGGCCCCTTTTCCGGAAGGGGCATGTTAATTTCAGCTATCGTAATAGGGAAATCCGCGGGGGATTTAAATATCCCCCGCGGCATTTAAATAAAAATGTCCGCCGCTTTTTTCCGGCTTTTAGAAAAGCCGGAAAAGAGCGTCTACACTGGCCCAGATCCTCCGGAAAAAAAGCCCTTTTCCGGAGGATCTTATTCCTACTTCAAAGACTTCAAAGTAGGAATAAGATCCTCCGGAAAAGGGCGCTTTTTCCGGAGGATCGGGGCCAGTGTAGACGCTCTTTTCCGGCTTTTCTAAAAGCCGGAAAAAAGCGGCGGACATTTTTATTTAAATGCCGCGGGGGATATTTAAATCCCCCGCGGATTTCCCTACTACGACTCACGAAATTTACATGCCCCTTCCGGAAAAGGGGCCAGTGTAGACGAGCCCAATCAGTATTTCAGAGCTTATGACCATGTCCTCTGTAGTCCTCACATGCTGGACAAATAACATTGGCCCTGATCATGAACTCCAATGGAAAGTAAAATACATCCCCATTGGATGGAAGGCAGAGGAGAAATTCACAACTCCTCTAGCTGTATTGCCAACCTATTTACTCCTCTGTCCCTTTACTTGTGTGGGACTTGGACTGGGTACAGAGGCTTCTGGCAGGATGAAGAGCCTCACTTCCCTTTTGATGCAGAGTGGAGTTTAATGGATGAATTTAAGGGACACATAGTAACATATCATCATTTTTACTGGTTTTCCACCTGACTTGTTTAGTGACCTATAGGCAGGAGAAAATGGACACTGAAAAAACATAAAATTCTCTACTATTTGCCTTTACTGCTGATCTGGTGGTAGTTCTGTTATCACTTACTGTATTGCTAGAACTGAAAAAAAATGTATATTTATTGATATAATATGAACAAAATATTATAAAAAAGACTGTGAAACAGCAGACAGACTGCATACCTGTCTATCCTGCTAAAACCCAACCATCCTTTAACAGTGGCCTTCAGTAGGCCTGTGTTCTTCAAACCCCATCAAGATTGTGTGCTCCCATTTGATTCTCCCACCCCAAAAATGGCTCTCTTGAGAAACTGTGATCTTTCTATATCCTACTCTAGTTTTGCTCTTTTGTGTTTGCAGGTTCTCTTTTGTGTTTGACTCTTCTCAAACTAGGCCAGTAGGCTCTCTAGGAGACTGAGCCAGAGACCTCAGAACAAATCCTCAGAGATATTTAAGTGGTTATATGAAGCATCTCTTCCTTCCTGCCAGTATTTCAGATCAGCTTCTGATGAAACCACTATACAGAAAACATCTCAATGACAAGGCCAACATGCAGTGTCAATAATGTACTGCAGGATAGCTCTGAATGGGTCACAAAGACATCTATACATTCACTCCACAATACAGACTGAGTCAAAAACTTCCTTTTACTGTGAAATACAGAGGGAACAAAGGTGTACAAAAACACAAGTAAGAGGATCCCATGAAGGATAAAGAATAGAGATTAGCAGTTCTCTACCTGCATTCTTTGTAGAAGACTTTCTGTAGTGTCAAATTGGGGAACCCTGGTTTTAGAGTAAGTCTATATAGCTGGAAGAAAGGAATGATATTTTGGATCCATTGATCTATATGGTCGGTGCCAAAAGTAGAAATCTGAGTGTAAACCTATAGAAAACTTAATGCTGCTCCTAGTTGCACCATTAGCTCCCCTACCAGTACACATTCACAGTTGGAGCTTAGCTCTTGAATGAGGATACAGCAATGGACTACTCTGCATGGCTGCATACCCCCCAAGTCCCCTGGTGGGATAATCTGTTGAGTTTTAAGCTCTTTTCTCCTTCCTGTGGCTTTTCCACAGCAGGAGAGCATTTGGCCCTAAGAAGTACAGCAGCCAAATA